GGTATGCAGGTGGAATTTCTGCAGGACAATATGCGTAAGCTGCTGGATGTTCTCCAACCATCAGCTCCAGGGAGAGTAGTCCTGGTTAAATGAGGCTCTGTTGGAGTCTGCAGAGGCCCTCTGGAATACTCCTGCTTTGTTGTCTCTTACAGCGAAGTGTTCAGAGAAGTGGTACTCTGTTTCCATGCAGGGTTTCTACTCCCACCTGGCCCCTAACTCTCTTGTGATAACTGCAGCAAATGACAGGGCATGACATAAATCTACACCTATGGACAAAGAGTCCAAAAGAATGGACTTAATGGGGAGGAAGATTTATATTTCCTCCTCCCTGCAGATGTGCTTTGCAACCCAGCAGATGTTGCTCTCTAAATATGGCTTTGTTAATTGGGTGGCCATGTCGGAGTTTGCAGACAAGTTGCTAAAAACCTTAAAGAGTTTAAGGCATTCATTGGAGAAGGCCTTATGGTAACCAAGATTTCTTTACAGTCAGCTCTGGACCTGGCAGATATCTCAGCCAGAACTATGGCATTGGCTGTGACCATGAGGAGGTACCTGATGGCTGCAGAATTCAGGCATTGTACCTGAGGTGCAGCAGAGCATTGAGGACTTAACTTTCGATAGTTGGGTTTTGTTTTTGGAAAAGCGCAATGAGACCCTGCACTCTTTTAAGGATTCCCGAACTACTTTGCATTCCTTGGGAACTTATATGCCAGCTGTACAGCGATGCCACTATAGGCGTTTCTTTGGGCAGTCCTCCTTTCCAGTAAGGCAGTGGGACTACCCCAGGAAAGGGCATAGATCTCAGAGGCAAAGGCCCACTGGTTCCAGATTTAGCCATCCAGCTCATCCTCCTGCAGCATCCAGCAAGCACTCTTTTGACTTCTGTGTCCAGGACAGTGATCCAGTGGTTACCAATGCTTTTCACCTGCGCTGGAAATCAGCACTCCTGTGTGCTTTTCCTCCAACTCTGATCATCCCACAGGTCATTCTCTAGCTGAAATTGTATCATGTCATGCTTATTCTCATTCCTCCAGCATGGCCTAGATCATGGTGGTTCTCTGACCTCCTTGCATTATCAGTCCAGCCTCCCATATCTCTTCCTCTTCATCCCAGCCTCCTGACTCAGTATCACAGCCAGATTTCACATCCAGCACTCATCTCCCTGCATCTCACTGCATGGATACTGGATGGTTAGATGAGGAGGGGAATGATGTTCAGAGGTGGTCCAGCAAATCTTGCTTAATAATATAAAGCCCTCCACCAGAGCAGCCTATTTGGCCAAACAGAAGTGGTTCTCGATGTGGTTGTTAGCCTGGGGAGTTCAACCGAAAATGGTTTGTATCCAGGACAACTTTTACACCGTCAGGTTTCTGATTTTTCACTTAATTAGTTGAGAGTGCACTTGGTGGCAATTTTGGCATTTCACCTACCCATCCATGGGAAATCAGTATTTTCGAGCTCCATGGTAATGAGATTCTTGAAAGGAGACATTCAGCTCCATTTCAGTCTCAAGAACTGAGAGCCTCACTATCCAGTTGTATGGAAAAGGGGGATTTAATAGTTTAATTTGTGCTGACTTTATTTTTAAAGGGGACTCTGGCTGGCCTACTTTGTGTGTGCAATTGAAGTCTGCCCACATTCAATTGATTCAAGTGAAAGATTCTCCCAGGTGTTAGAATTTTGCTCTATATATCTGAAATGCAAAAGGGCAGCTTCAGAGAAATATAGTATTGGCAAAGAACAGTCATCATTTTCTTCTCATGTGCTGTATACATGAATGGCACCCTCTACTCGAGTCTAAGAATGGTAATTTTAGGTTAGAAATGTTAGTGCAGTGTTTCTCAAACTGGGGTTGCCGCTTGTGTAGGGAAAGCCCCTGGCGGGCCGGCTGGTTTGTTTACCTGCCCTGTCCGCAGGTCCGGCCGATCGCGGCTCCCCAGGGGCTTTCCCTACACATGTGGCGGCCCCAGTTTGAGAAACACTGTGTTAGTGTGTTTGTAGATTAGCATGTTATTTTTCCCCCTACCTTTTCATTAAATGGAATGTTTTTTCATTTCTTTCAATGAGAGATTTTATTTTTCCTGGGTATTTGGTAACCAATACAAAACTTTTAGAAATAACACAATAAACAGGGGTGGTTGAAATGGTTTGTATTAAATAAAAACGGACCTAAATTTTCCTCAAACTCAGATCACACCAACCCTTTTTCATAAATGAAAATGTTTCTTAAAATACAGAAAATAATATTTCTCATTTACACATTCCTCTGCACTTCTTGGTTTTGGTTGAGATCTCATGTGCTGAAATGTGATTAAGAACATCATGTGGTTGTTCTTGCCAGATTTCCAGCCCAGTTCTCCAAACTAAAATCTTGGATCGTTCAGATAGGGAGGAGGTAAATGTTTAGAATTTTTAGTGGTTAAAGGAACTCCAAAACCTCTGAGTTCCCTTGACACTATTTATATGTGAGAAAGATGGCAATATAGCTCTTTACCAGATTATAGATTAAATTTACCAAATAATTATTTTCATCTCTAAAAACGGAGTTATATTAGTTTGTACGTTTCTTCATGTGATGAAAATATTGGTCATAGATATTCACATTGTAATGGCTTAGGAGCAAAGAGACTTGTTCTCCACATAGAAGGTACAGCACTGGGATATATGTGATTCATAACCATATATACTTTTCCAGAAAAAGTTCATCATAATTGCCACAAAAAGAATGTTCATTTTAGCAGTTCTGGGGTTTTTCTGTGGTATTTGGGTCAATGAATCACTTGGCTATAGAATTACTTAGTACGCCAAAATATCTTACCCTAAATAGTTCACTTACGTTACCTTTGGGGGGAAAAAACTGGAGTTTCAAGTAAAAACAAATAACTAAGACTGATTTCATTGAACACATGGGAGATGGATGTTAAATAAATATAATGGTAATCATTTGTTTTTTAAATAATATAGCTTTTCCATGGACGTTAACAAGTTACCAAGTACCACATTTATAAGCATGTATGCCTAAAGTTAGGCTTCTGTATCAATATTTATTAATATTATGAATTATCAGTTTTTGAGACCTAAATCCATGTTTTGTGCAAACAAAGTCAGGATTTTGAGAGCTAATTTAGGTCATTATCTTTAGGCTCCCTTGTATAAAAATGTAGTCCCAGCAGTCCTTGCCATGACTATAAACATGCATGAGCAGTCTCACTGAGGTCAGTAGGACTACTCGCATGTGTAAGTGTTTGCAGGATTGGGGCCTATGTCACTAGTGAATTAAGATTTTTTTTTTTCTAATGTGAGAGAAAGAGAAGTTCATTAATCATAAATGAGAAAATGTGCTTTATTTCAGGTATTGGAATTTATTAGTTGGAAATTACAAGCTTTAATTATTACAGATATAAAGCTACCATCAAGTATTAAGTCTTTGTGCTACCATGCAAGACAGTAGGTTCAGTTCCTGGTATTTCCTCCCCAAAATGTCATGGACTTGGAACATAACATGACTAGCACACTTCGCTTAGAGGCAAGTACCAGTGATGTGTTGCTGACAGCAAGCCCTGCCTTGCTCACACATGTACTGTGTGAAACGGGACTACTTTAACACACATTAGGGAACTTTTAATATATGCCAGCAGGTTTCCCACAGGCCAGTTAGTGTGTGATGCGCTGAATGCTCCCTAGAATTTATACCTCTCTGGTGCAGATTAGTGCACTGTGTACACAAGCCTGTAAGAGTGTGTCTTTCTGTGAAGGGAGTCCCATAGATGCTAAGATAACCAGTGATATTTGCTTGTAGCTTTTTGTTGCATTTTGTCCTGCTTTAGAACATTTTTAGAAAACGCTTATGCAGTATGAAAACATTTTGGTGCCAAAAATGTGGTATTCTTACTAATGAAAGGTGCTGTTTTTGACAGGAGTGAGTCAGTCTCTCTCTCTCTCGTATCTTATTTCATCCCTACTCTTCCCCATTACCGTATGCTATTATTTTACAGCTGTTCTTTTCATTAAAACAAACAAAGAAATAGAAATATTCTGATTCCTCTGGTAAATCAAAGATTATCATGTTGTTGGAAGAAGTAGCAATGTCCTCGTTGGTATTCAGCATCTCGTTTCCTCTTTACCAGGCATTCGGTTAGTGGAGATATTGCATGGGTCTTTTCAAAGATTTCTTTCTTGTACCTCTTTACTGCTCTGGACCCTCCATACGTGTTTTAACTTTTATCTGCTTGTAAAGTTGATCAGACATTGCATCCAGATTTGCCGTTCTTGCTGTCTGCTATATCTGCTTGTGTGTTATGTACAATCTTCAGTTGTCTTTAAAAAGAAATAAATAAAGCAAACTTTGAGGGGAATGAGTTGATGTTAGGTGGTAGGTAACTAATACTCATGTCTCCCTCACTATATGGCATTTTTGAAGTAATAAAAACTGATTGGAGTTGTTGCACATTCACTAGCATTCCTTGGAGGATGAAAGTACATTTCATTCAAAACAAACAGCCCCACGCTTCTCGCCCTGGTGCTTTAAAAGGTTTTAAATTGCAAAAAAATAAATGAAATGAAGAATCTAGGTTTGGTCACATATGATCCCTCGTACGATATTTCTGAGCTCTCCCTAGCACTTGTACCTTTTACTATTTACATCAGCCACTGTCCCATGTAAAGAAAAGAATATCTGCTGTTGCTCCGGCCTTCCCATGCCACCTCCAGGGATGTCCACCTCTAGTCCCCTGGGCTTGTTCTTAAAGCCTGACCCAAACATGTTTTAAGTCATTTTCATATCCAACCTGCGCTCAACACTTGTATTCAGGTTTGAGTCAGGTTGCAAGGCCCTGAGGTTTTTGTCTTGTTATTGACTTGGAAAACAAAATCATTTTGGATTGGTGATTTTCATAAAACTCTAATAGCTGATATAATTTAAGCTAGTCTCAAAGCATATCAGTTGCATGATACAGAATATCTGACTTTTCACTATAATTACTTTTTATTTTTCATTGCAGATATGAGCACATTCTAATGGCACCTGACCCAGTACCAGTGTATGCCCTGAAACTGTTGGTAGCCCTGACTGAACATAGCCCTGCGCTTACTAGGTAACACAATTAAACTTTCTCTTCTAATCAGAATTTTTCTCGTTTCATCCTTATTCACTGTTCAATTAGAAATTAAGAATTATATAGATTTAAGTGCAATTCATACTGATGAGATTGTGTTGAGACACAGATCTTGGCAGTGAAAATAGTTTTCTCATACTTAGGGTATGTCTACACTACGAGAGTAGTTCGATTTTAGTTAAATCGAATATGTGCAATCGATATTAGAAAGTCGAACGTATGTGTCTACACTAAGGACAGTAATTCGACTTTGTCAGTCCACACTACCAGGGAAAGCGTCGACATTGGAAGCAGTGCACTGTGGGCAGCTATCCCACAGTTCCCGCAGTCCCCGCCGCCCATTGGAATTCTGGGTCGATCCTCCAATGCCTTCTGGGTAAAAAAATGTGGCGAGGGTGCTTTTGGGTAACTGTCGGCATCCGTCAGTCACTACCGCCCTCCCTCCCTCCCTCCCTGAAAGCGCCGGCGGGAAATCAGTTCGCGCACTTTATGATCAGTGACAGCGCGGACGCCACAGCACTGCGATCATGGATCCCGCTGCGACCATCGCTGCAGTTGTGGCCGTTCTCAACACCTCGCAGCTTATCATACACCTTTCCCTGAGGCAGATGCAGAGAAATCAGGCGAGGAGGCTACGGCACCGGCGTGAGGGCCTGAAGTCGGAGAGTAGCACAGAGCTGTCAGAAACCACGAGCCCCAGCGCCCAGGACATCACTGTGGCAATGGGGCATGTGGATTTTGTTGAACGGCGATTCTGGGCCCGGGAAACAAGCACGGACTGGTGGGACCGCATAGTGCTTCAGGTCTGGGATGAATCCCAGTGGCTGCGAAACTTTCGCATGCGGAAGGGGACTTTCCTCGAACTTTGTGAGTTGCTGTCCCCTGCCCTGAAGCGCAAGGACACCCGCATGCGAGCAGCCCTGACTGTCCAGAAGCGAGTGGCCATAGCCCTCTGGAAGCTTGCAACGCCGGACAGCTACCGGTCAGTCGCGAACCACTTTGGCGTGGGCAAATCTACCGTGGGGGTTGTTGTCCTGCAAGTAGCCAAGGCAATCGTCAAGGTACTGCTGTCAAAGGTAGTGACCCTGGGAAACGCGCAGGCCATCATAGATGGCTTCGCTGCGATGGGATTCCCAAACTGCGGTGGGGCTATAGATGGGACTCACATCCCTATCCTGGGACCGGGCCACCAGGCCAGCCAGTACATCAATAGAAAGGGCTACTTTTCAATGGTGCTGCAAGCACTGGTGGACCATCGGGGACGGTTTACAAACATCTACGTCGGATGGCCGGGCAAGGTTCATGACGCTCGCGTGTTCAGGAACTCTGGTCTGTTTAGACGGCTGCAGGAAGGCATTTACTTCCCGGACCACAAGATAACTGTTGGGGATGTGGAGATGCCTACAGTGATCCTCGGGGACCCAGCCTACCCGCTAATGCCCTGGCTCATGAAGCCCTATACTGGGGCCCTGGACACTGCACAAGAACTCTTCAACTACCGGCTGAGCAAGTGCAGAATGGTGGTGGAGTGTGCTTTTGGCCGTCTCAAGGGGAGATGGAGAAGCTTACTGACTCGCTGTGATCTCAGCGAAACCAATATCCCCATCGTTATTGCAGCTTGCTGTGTGCTCCACAATCTGTGTGAGAGCAAGGGGAAGACCTTTATGTCGGGGTGGGAGGTTGAGGCAAATAGCCTGGCTGCTGATTACGCCCAGCCAGACAGCCGGGCGATTAGAAGAGCCCAGCGGGACGCGCTGTGCATACAGGAGGCTTTGAAAGCCAGTTTCAAGGCTGAGCAGGGTACCCAGTGACTTTTAAGTTTGTGGACACAGAAGCTGAACTTGCCCCCGTTTCTTTACCCAGTTGCCGTCGACTATCCTCTCCAGTTACATACCCCCTTCACCCCATTCCCAAAAAATAAAATCTGTTCTGTTTTGTTAATGGACACCGTTGTCTTTATTACTGTTTTCGCGGGAATGTTTTAAACCTGGGACGCAGACTGTGGCGGGGGACGGGTTTAGTGTTGTGATGCAAATGATGCTTCTAAACTCCAGGAATGACAGGCTCCGCGGTGGTGGACTGGTTGTTTCAACGGAGCCTGCCAGCCCTCCTGGCCGGGACTGCGTGTATGTGCCGGCTATGTGACTGTCTTGCAGGGGGAGGAGGGTTACAGATCCCCTGCTGCGCGGCTCTGTGATCCAGGGTAAGGACCGCTGCATAAGATCTGTAACTGCCCTCCCCCGCCACCAAGTCACAGAGCAACACCCCCCCCCCCACCACACAGAACATGAAAACCACCTCCCAGACTGACCAGGATAACTAGTCACTGCACTGTATATGTGCCCTGCTGCTGGACCTGCCCCCTGCTAAAGGTGACTGTCCTGTCCAATTACCAAGCCCCTTCCCCCCCCTTCAGACAGACTCTCATCTAAAAGAAGAGGATGGAAACAATAATGAACAAAAACGTATTTTTTATTAACAACCGCACATGGAACGGGGGGGGTGAAACTTGGACGGGGTCTTGTGTGAGGCGGGTAGGAAAGGACTTTTCAAATTTTGGGGAATGAGAGCCTTCTAGTGGTAGAGCAGTCCGCAGGGGTTGAGTGAAATTTTTCACGGCCCCTTCCGCCCCTCCGTGTTTGGACTTTGGGTGAGGGGGGTATGGGACTTGGTGGCGGGGCAGGGCAGTTACAGAGAGACTGCAGCGGGGCTCTCTCCTCCTGCCTCCGGTCCTGCAGAACATCCACAAGGCGGCGGAGCGTGTCCGTTTGCTCCCTCATTAGTCCAAGCAGCGTTTGAGTAGCCTGCCTGTCCTCCTGTCACCACCTCTCCTCCCGTTCCATGTTTGCCCGGTGCATTTGGGACAAGTTCTCCCTCCACTGTGTCTGCTGGGCTGCCTGTGCTCGGGAGCATGCCATTAGTTCAGCAAACATGTCTTCCCGTGTCCTCTTCTTCCTCCTCCTAATGTGCGCTAGCCTCTGGGCAGATGTGGCTGTGGGAATTGGAAAAAAGGAGTGAATTCCTGAGACAGATCAATGTATCTGTGAACAGAGAACATAGTCTTTCTCTGTGACCAAGACCATGCAGAGCACCTATCACACGCGCACTGAGGACAAGGTCGAATTTTCGGCCCTCGCCTACCGTGCCTGCGGTCTTGCTGTGGCGAGCTGAGGAGCAGGGCAGGACACCGGACTTTGTCTAGCTGTCAAACATGGTAAGCCGTAGACTTGTGGCTGCTTAAAACTTTAAGAGTGGCACTGGCCTCCTTTCGCATAGAAAGCAATGCGAGTCTCTGCTGGCAGCAATCCTGCAAGCATGAACTCTGGCCCTGTCCCACCCCCTCGCGGCTGTAAACTGCGTGGCTGTAAACCGGCGGTTGCAGTTCTGTAAAGGGACGGGCAAGCAGTCCCAATACTAACTTTCCCCTACCTAATTCACAGCAGGGAGTCATGCCAGACATCACCCTCCTGAAGGTCTCTGAGAGCCAGAAGGAGCGGATGCTTCGTGACAGCCTGCAGAAACCGGGGCCATTTGCTGCAATGCTCTGCAAGGCCATGATCCCCGAGTACCTGCTGGCGTTGTGGCAGGGAAACGTCTCATACCACGGGGGGCCTAACAAGCTCTCCCTGCCCAGGAACCTGCTCATGAGGCTTGAAAAACACCTGCAGGAGACCTATGAGGAGTTCTCCCCGGAGGATGTCGCCTCTATCCCCGGATACATTGACCAGTTTTTGGGTTAGGTGCCCTTGGAGGGACAGAAGAGTGCAGCGTTTTGGGCATTATAATCATGAAGCGGACATTGTGAAATTTTTTGAAAATAGACTATATATTGAAGCGCCCACAGACAGACTAATCATGATACACTTTGCACAGATTCCCGTTTTGTTGGACTTTCCTGTTTACATGTTTTGAAGCACTTTACCCACTGTTAATATTTTAAATCTTCCTGTTTTGTTGTAAATAAATGTTTACATGTTTTAAAGCACTTTACCTATTGTTGATATTTGAAATATGCCAGTTATGTTATAAATAAATGTTTAGATATTTAAAACACTTACTGCTTGATCCTTCCCCTGAATCTGTGTCTGGGATAACGGCTGGGGAGGGTTGGTAGGGGATCTCTGTCAGGGTGATGAAGAGCTCCTGGCTGTCGGGCAAATCAGCGCTGTCGACTGCCTCGTCCTCCTCATCTCCTTCCTCCTCTTCCCCGTCCGCTGAGGAACCGGCCGCGGACAATATCCCATCCTCAGAGTCCACGGTCAGGGGTGGGGTAGTGGTGGCGGCCGCACCTAGGATGGAATGCAGTGCCTCGTAGAAACGGGATGTGTGGGGCTGGGATCCGGAGCGTCCGTTTGCCTCTTTGGTCTTCTGGTAGCCTTGTCTCAGCTCCTTGATTTTCACGCGGCACTGCGTTGCATCCCGGCTGTATCCTCTCTCTGCCATGGCTTTAGAGATCTTCTCATAGGTCTTTGCATTCCGTCTTTTGGAGCGCAGCTCGGAAAGCACGGACTCATCTCCCCACACAGCGATGAGATCCAAGACTTCCCGATCAGTCCATGCTGGGGCCCTCTTTCTAGTCTGAGATTGCACGGCCATCTCTGCTGGAGAGCTCTGCATCGTTGCCACTGCTGCTGAGCTCGCCACGGTGTCAAAACAGAAACTGCGATTCAAACTACCCAGACAGGAAAAGGAATTCAAATTTTCCCGGGGTGTGGTTGGTCAGAGCATCCGAGCTCGGACTGCTGTCCAGAGCGTCAACAGAGTGGTGCACTGTGGGATAGCTCCCGGAGCTATTAGCGTCTAATTCCATCCACACCTAGCCTAATTCGACATGGCCATGTCGAATTTAGCGCTACTCCTCTCGTTGGGGAGGTTTACAGAAATCGATTTAAAGAGAGCTCTATGTCGAACTAAATAGCTTCGTGGTGTGGACGGGTGCAGGCTTAATTCGATATAACGGCGCTAAATTCGACATAAAA